CCTACATCTTCAAGCACAACACCGCGCGCGCCTCCGAGCAAAACTGATAATAAGATTGAAGAGACATACCAGGGAGCAACAAATGGCGGAGCGGCAGACAGTTGGGACAGAGCACACGATGCTCTCAAGGCAGAAAAAAAGAAGCCGCTGAAAGACGATAGGACGTTTCGCCTCCCTAAGGTGCCTCTACACTGGGACGCCGGAGACGTACAGTCCTTCTCGGAAGAGCACCATCGCTCAGCCGCCCCCAACGTCAAGCTCCCCGCTCCTGAGATTCACGCCCAGTATAGCACCATAAACAGCCAAACCCCGCCAGATTCCCTATCGCATAAACTACCGATAGCTGGTAGGAGCCTACTCTTCGGAATGGCATCCACAGCCGCACAAGGTTTTGATTGGATTCATGACGATTTTGAGGTAGGGTTTATTCTCTAGCTAAAGTCTTAAATTTTAGAATCTATTAAGATATAGAGGGTACGTTTTCAGTTAAGGATTACTCGCTGACAATAAACACGCTTGTAGGAGGTATGTGGATAGGCTGTGAACTAACAATACATGCTGACCTTGGTGTGTATGGTGGTGTAGGAGGTCAGTAGACCCTTTGAGATGGATGAGATGGTGATGATTATTGACCTTGGTGTGTATGGTGGTATAGTTGGTAAGTAGACCCTTTAAGATGGATGAGATGGTGATGATTACTGACCTTGGCGTGTGTGGTGGTATAGCGGGTAAGTAGACCCTTTGAGATGGATGAGATGGTGATGATTACTGACCTTAGTATGTGTGGTGGTATAGCGGGTAGGTAGACCCTTTGAGATGGATAAGATGGTAATGATCACTAACCTTGGTGTGTGTGGTGGTATAGTTGGTAAGTATATCCTTTGAAATGGATGAGATGGTGATGATTGCTGACTTGGTGTGTGTGGTGGTATAGAACGTAAGTAGACTCTTTAAGATGGATGAAATGGTGATGATTACTGACCTTGGTGTGTATGGTGGTATAGGACGTAAGTAGACCCTTTGAGATGGATAAGATGGTGATGATTACTGACCTTGGTGTGTGTGGTGGTATAGGACGTAAGTAGACCCTTTGAGATGGATGAAATGGTGATGATTACTGACCTTGGTGTGTATGGTGGTATAGGACGTAAGTAGACCCTTTGAGATGGATAAGATGGTGATGATTACTGACCTTGGTGTGTGTGGTGGTATAGGACGTAAGTAGACCCTTTGAGATGGATGAAATGGTGATGATTACTGACCTTGGTGTGTGTGGTGGTATAGTTGGTAAGTAGACCCTTTGAGATGGATGAGATGGTGATGATTGCTGACCTTGGTGTGTGTGGTGGTATAGTTGGTAAGTAGACCCTTTGAGATGGATGAGATGGTGATGATTGCTGACCTTGGTGTGTGTGGTGGTATAGCGGGTAAGTAGACCCTTTGAGATGGATGAGATGGTGATGATTGCTGACCTTGGTGTGTGTGGTGGTATAGCGGGTTAGTAGACCCTTTGAGATGGATGAGATGGTGATGATTGCTGACCTTGGTGTGTGTGGTGGTATAGCGGGTAAGTAGACCCTTTGAGATGGATGAGATGGTGATGATTGCTGACCTATGGTGTGTGTGGTGGTATAGTGGGTAAGTAGACCCTTTGAGATGGATGAGATGGTGATGATTGCTGACCTTGGTATGTGTGGTGGTATAGTTGGTAAGTAGACCCTTTGAGATGGATGAGATAGTGATGATGACCTTGGTGTGTGTGGTGGTATAGGACGTAAGTAGACCCTTTGAGATGGATGAGATGGTGATGATTGCTGACCTTGGTGTGTGTGGTGGTATAGCGGGTAAGTAGACCCTTTGAGATGGATGAGATGGTGATGATTGCTGACCTTGGTGTGTGTGGTGGTATAGGAGGTAAGTAGATCCTTTGAGATGGATGAGATGGTGATGATTGGTGACCTTGGTGTGTGTGGTGGTATAGTGGGTAAGTAGACCCTTTGAGATGGATGAGATGGTGATGATTGCTGACCTTGGTGTGTGTGGTGGTATAGAACGTAAGTAGACCCTTTGAGATGGATGAAATGGTGATGATTGCTGACCTTGGTGTGTGTGGTGGTATAGTATGTAAGTAGACCCTTTGAGATGGATGAGATGGTGATGATTGCTGACCTTGGTGTGTGTGGTGGTATAGCGGGTAAGTAGACCCTTTGAGATGGATGAGATGGTGGTGATTACTGACCTTGCTCTCTTTTATAGACATTATGGACACGTAGTATCGCTGCGGAGTTTCAGGGCGAACTACTGCCAAATGCCTCCCATAATGCTGTCTCTTCCGATTCAACGGCGAACCCTCCATACTTTTTCTTACTACAAAAGTGGCTTCAATTCTGCGACTCAAACCATACCAAATGCCACCGGCGACGAGAAAAGGAGAAATTTTGGCCGACGAGGGTCATCTTTGTTGGTAACCCTAACAAATTAACCCTTGTCGAAGAGCGGCTTCAGGGGGAAGACTACCTTGCACTCTCGCACTGCTGGGGCGTTCTTACAGAAAAAGAAAAGAACCGTTTCTGCACCACCCGAAAAAACCATCGAGATCGACTGCAGGGCTTCAGCTACGATGAACTGCCAAAGACATTTCAACACGCAATTCAGGTGACTCGAGCATTGCAGAAGCAGTACCTCTGGATCGACGCCCTCTGCATCATCCAAGGAAATGACGGCGACTGGGGAACCCAAGCTAAGACGATGGCAGATATCTTCGCCTGCGCCTACTGCACTATTGCCGCGAGTTCAGCGCGTGGTTGGGGAGATGGCTTCCTAAGTCCACAGACGGGTCCCCCGGACATTGGAGCACTCATTACTCCAAGCATACTAACTTGCAAGTGTGACTTCAATAAAGATGTGGATGAAGGGGCACTCATGGAGAGAGCTTGGGTACTGCAAGAACGGGTACTTTCCCGGCGAATCATCCATTTCACTACGGCACACACATATTGCGAGTGTGGAGACGGAGTGCTATGTGAACAGCTTACAAAACTGTCCCCGTAAGTCTCTACAATTGAGTATCAGACGTGGTACGAAGTCTTACCTTGCTTTAGGCCGTATGGGAGACAATTTTTCATTCTTGACCCTACTTTTCCAAGTAGACTCACTGAATCTGGGCCTATACGCACCGCCGATTTCGTCCGGTTCCTATTCAAGAAGTATTCGGCATCTTACCTTACTTTTGGAACTGATAGGGACGTTGCGATTGATAGTCTGGTCGAGCGTATGGCGCAGGTGCTAGAAACTGAAGTAAGATATGGGATCTTTGATTGCTTTCGTAGTTCCCTTCTCCTATGGAAGCGATCTCAGGAGGACAAGACGCCCCGGATTCCCTATGGCGATCGAACTGTGCCATCATGGTCTTGGATGGCATATTCCGGAGGTATTGATTTTCTCTCCGATATAAAGCAGAATCTCGTGGTCCCAAGCCGCGTAGATCTTGGTTTTGCCGATGATGGGAAGGCGCTGGATGTCAAAGTAAGGCGGTTTGGTGAAAATTGCCGAGTGGAACAACAGGCGGAAGGACATGTTATTGTCAATGGGACGGAGGAAGTGGGCTGTATATGGTTTGATGTGGCAGATCGGATCGAGTTCAAACATTGCGTGGCTGTTGGCATGGACAAACACGACAAGAAGGAAGACCCTCGGAAGACTTACTATATCCTTGTCGTTTGGAAGAAAGAGGATGGCGTGGAATATGAAAGGCTAGGGGTTGGAAAGGTGGAAGCACAGTATGTGTCCAGAGACGGCGATGCTGGAACACTTTGGTGATATTCTTTTTCTTTGTAGCCTGATATATTTCCTAATTAAATGACGGTGATTCGGAGGTTGGTTATAGAGTAAGAATTCTCACCTTTCTATCTTGGTGTGTGGGTGAAGCGATTAGTGCATGCCATGTAGCGAGACAAGGGAAGATCAATACCCTGGAAGATGTAGGGCAAGACATGGATTGGGGACCGCAAGAAGATTATGGCCCTAGATACCAATACTTGACTAGAGTCTGCCGGCTATGGTGCTATGAAGGCATGCTCCAAGGGCGAACCCATCTTGGAGAATGGGCTTGGGGCTTGAAGTTTGGTTTCGGGGCTAGGTGGCATTGTAGAGGGGGGCCGAGGTACTGTTTGCTGGCGTAGAGAATGGAAAAGTGAGGTTGTTTGGCATGAGTGAGCCTGTCGTCGTGGTGTTGACAGCTGTCATAGCAGCCTCAAGGCCAAGCCCGCTGCCGCTCTTAGAGCAAGCGAAGCGAAGCAGCCAGGTCTCATGACATATGGGGAGCTTGCGGAAGAACTGTTTGCCCTGAGTTTATATAAGGTTAGCCATAGAAGAGGCTTGGTGATGGGGGTCGGTGGGAGAAGGTGGATGTAAAGTATGTTAGGAAGCGGAGCGGGAAGGTGTCCAGGCTAGGAGTAAGTGCCGTGGCCAATTCGGTTTGCAGTTACCGTCGCTTACCTATGCTCTGCTTCTACCACACAGCTTTCAACGCAACCGGCGTCAATGCATGGCCCGGGGGCGAGCTCGATGTGATCTGATACGGCGGAACATCCACATGCGCACGGAAATCAGACGGCATACAACCGAACGGGTAGTCTCGCCTGGCCGGTACTGATCATGTAGGGTCCCACCAGAAACGCAACGAGGAACACTGCCGGGCAAGTCGAGATCCCGACACAACAGCAAAGCTGTGTTTGAGAGCCAAGGAAGCAACCAAGGGAAGCATCCTGCCGGGAATTAGCGCTACCAGTGGAAATAGAGAGGCCGATCTATTGTCTATAATGTCTGTCGCAGTTGTCGTCTTCTTAGAGGGTTGTGATTTGAGTCCAAAATGATCATGCTGATGTGTATATTCCGTAATAAATTAGGGCGAAGCGGTTAGGATCGTTCATTAAATGAGATCCATTGAATAGGGGTCGTAAAGGGAACGAGCCCTGGATGGAGTCATGTTCAAAAAGAATCGTCACCTACAGGATTCGAACCTGTGCTCCCGAGGGAATTGCCTGTCGACTATTGATTAGATAGCAGGGCAACGCGTTAACCACTCCGCCAAAGTGACTGATGGGTTGAGTTGTTTGATGTCAATTTGCGGCATTCCACCACGCTAAGATGCAACCACTGTGGGTATCTGACAAACTCCGCTTGGAGAGGGGGGAATTTACTTGCAAGTCCACCATACAGCTAGCTGCCTCAGCTGCCTAATCTGCAACCGAGAAGCCGCCCGAGTACACGAGCTGCCTTCCATGTCACCTACGACATCTCCCCGCGACCTGGGAGCAGCTTTGTCATGATGAACATGGCGACGATTTTGCGATTCTGCGGCGTTAGGCTTTTGCTCGGCTCAATAGTTATGTTACCCCTCTCGTGAGTCTTATCAGATCCTGCATGTCAATCATGGGGATGACGGATCTGATTACGGCGCAGCTGAACAGAAGGGGGGCCGTGACGCGGCCCGCTCGCGGCACCTTCAATGCATGGGTCCCGGCGAGACAAAGGGAGGCCGGCTGTCGATGCGGCCCCCAGAAAGGCAAGAGCTAACAAAACCCGCAAGCGATTCCGTGCTGGGATCTTGTAATTGAAAGGGGGTGTGGGGTTCGACCTGAGCCACATGGCAATGGCCGCGCAATCGCTCGTGTATATCACGGCAGGTCTCTAGCTGAGCTGTGGGAGGATACCGCTCATAACTCCGAGCCGAATTGCCTTTGTCAGGGGATGGTCGAGATATGTCAGGTATAAAAGGACAAAGGATGCCCCTCACCGAACTTGTCTCCAAAGACATTGACCGTCTCAAGTTCAAACTTGCGTCACTGACCTCTTCCTCACCTCCTCAAACAAATCCTGTATCTCCATCCAGCAAACAGCATCACCATCGCCATGTCAAACCCGACCAAAAACCCCCAATGGGCCGCCGTCGACAAGTACGCGACCTCGCACACCCATCCGGCCTCGCGCCCCAACACCAAAGCCCTCCAAGACGCCCACGACCAATCCCTTGCCGCCGGCCTCCCCGACATCGCCGCCTCCCCGCCCCAGGCCAAGTTCCTCGCCCTGTGGTGCCGCATCCTCGGCGTCACGCACGCACTGGAACTCGGAACCCTGGGCGGCTACACGGCCATCTGGCTGGCGAGCGAGAACCCGCAGCTGCACGTGACCACGGTCGAGCTCGACCCGCACCATGTCGCCGTGGCGCGCCGGAACATTGAGGCGGCGGGGTTGACGGGGCGGATTGAGGTCATCGAGGGAGAGGGGCTTGCCGTGGTTAGGAGGCTGCGGGAGGAGGTGCTGCGCGGGGAGCGGGAGCGGTTTGGGTTTTCGTTTATCGATGCGGATAAGGAGAACAACTGGAATTACTTTGACCTGGCTGTCGACATGTCGACCCCCAAGGCTGCCGTCTGTGTGGACAATGTGGTGCGAGGGGGCAGGGTGGCGGATGAGGCGAATACCGACCCGAGGATTCAGGGGACGAGGGAGGTTATTGAGAAGGCGGGTAAAGATCCCCGGGTTGATTCGGTGGTCATTCAGACGGTGGGTGAGAAGGGGTATGACGGGTGGCTGTGGGCTGTCCTGAAGGAGAAGAGGGAATAGGCCATGGCCTGCTAATTCGTCTTTGGTATTGGAGCAAGTGCTCGCCAGGAAAGTCGGGTATTAGCACTTTCTAGAGCTTCTTAGCTAGTGAATTAATAGAGAGATATTTAACCACTCTGGCGTAGCTGTGTTGATCCTGCTCTGTGTGCCTCCGTTTCTTGAAGATTGGGATTGAAGATTAGGAGAGTGGAGAGAGGTTCAATTTGGGGACTTGAGAGCTGTCAGAAATGTGGGGGATATGGGGCCGCTGAGGATAAGCCAATGAGCCGTGCGTAGGTCACCCGGAGTAGGGAATATCGTCTCACCGCCTTTGGCGCCCCAATTTCGCGGTACAGCGTTCTGCCCTCCCCTGGATGCGCTCCAGTCCGCCAGCGTAGCTCGTAATCATCACCGACATCACCGACATCAGCGATATCACCAACATCAACACAACGCGACGTAACACACCCGACGCCGCGCACCGCCGCGCATCTCTCCCTGCCCTTCGCCGGCCCGCTGTCCCTATCTTGTCCCTGTCGAAAACCGCCAACATGCTGTCCGGAATCCTCATCTTCAATCAGAAGGGCGAGAACCTGATTTTCCGCGCGTTCCGGAACGACTGCCGCCCACGCCTGGCCGACGTCTTTCGCATCCAGGTCATCAGCAATGCCCAGGTCCGCTCCCCAATCCTCACCCTCGGCAGCACCACCTTCAGCCATGTCAAGCACGAAAACATCTACCTCGTCGCCATCACCAAGAGCAACGCCAATGCCGCTCTCGTCTTCGAGTTCCTGTACCGCCTGATCCAGCTCGGCCGCGGCTACTTTGGCAAGTTCGACGAGGAGGCTGTCAAGAACAACTTTGTCCTGGTCTATGAGCTCCTGGATGGTACGTTCCGTCTCGCCCCCTTGCGCTGTGTGCATGTGTTGTGTGTCCTAACCCGCCCGTCGCGTCCAGAAATCATCGACTTCGGTTACCCTCAGAACACCGAGACGGACACGCTGAAGATGTACATCACGACCGAGGGCGTCAAGACGGAACGCGCCGCCGAGGATTCTGCCAAGATCACCATGCAGGCGACTGGCGCCCTGTCTTGGCGGAAAGCCGACGTCAAGTACCGCAAGAACGAGGCCTTCGTCGACGTGATCGAGGACGTGAACCTGCTGATGAGTGCCACGGGCTCCGTGTTGCGCGCCGACGTGACCGGCCAAATCATAATGCGCGCATACCTGAGCGGGACCCCCGAGTGCAAGTTTGGTCTCAACGACCGCCTGCTGCTCGACAACGACGCTACCAACACCCTGCCGAGCGGGAACCGACAGGGCAGCAAAGCGACCAAGGCGGCTGCCGGCAGCGTCACACTCGAGGACTGCCAATTCCACCAGTGCGTCAAGCTGGGCAAGTTCGACAGCGATCGCATCATCAGCTTCGTGCCGCCCGACGGCGAGTTCGAGCTGATGCGCTACCGCGCCACCGAGAACGTCAATCTCCCCTTCAAGGTGCACGCCATCGTCAACGAGGTCGGCAAGACAAAGGTCGAGTACAGCATCGGCGTGCGCGCCAACTTTGGCTCCAAGCTCTTCGCCACCAACGTCGTTGTCCGCATCCCCACACCGCTCAATACTGCTAGGATCACGGAGCGCTGCACACAGGGGAAGGCCAAGTACGAGCCGTCGGAAAACAACATTGTGTGGAAGATTGGTCGCTTCACCGGCCAGAACGAGTTTGTCTTGAGCGCCGAGGCTGAGCTGACGAGCATGACCAACCAAAAGGCCTGGAGCCGGCCGCCCCTGAGCATGAGCTTTAGCCTGCTCATGTTTACCAGCTCCGGGCTGCTGGTGAGGTATCTCAAGGTGTTTGAGAAGAGCAACTACTCGAGCGTGAAGTGGGTCAGGTACATGACACGGGCCGGAAGTTATGAAATCAGGTAGGTTTTACCTCATGTCCCCTGCCCCTACCCCCCACACAAATCGGATTTTGCTGACAAGAGTGTACCCAAGGTTTTGAATGAATATGCTTTATGTCGGACCAGCTGCGTTACTATTTCCGTTGCGCGGCATTGGGCATAGCACAGGCGTCGGGGCGTTTCCATCGTTGGGCCAGCATCATGACTTACCAAACGAACTCGAGCACGATCTTGCCCAGCACTTGTTGGCTACCTGTGGAGGATGTTGCCCCAGCGGTGGCTCAGAGCTTCAATGGCCGCTGGGTAACGGGCCGGGGACCTATTGGCGTGCGACCCATACAGGCCCAAATGCTCGAAGCGGTATTTACGCCCACCAAGGGATTGTCCAACGGCGGGTGCCGTTTATGACTCGAATCGAAGGGGCGGGCCGGGAAGCTGTGACCTGTAGCGGATTCGACCCTGGAGTTGGGGAGGCGAACTCGGAAAGGTATGCGCAGCGCCGAGTTTCGGCTGGCTTGATGCGTCGTTAGTTAACCATGAACAAGAGCAACAAGAGCACGTGCCTATACCCTTCGTGTCAGACCAAGATTCCGTCGTCAACATGCACTCCCACGTGTCTGAACGTTCGAGTAACGGTGGGTGAGCGGTTGGCAAGGGCACACGTCTCTGGATCCCTTGACCAACTCGTGGCAGAGGGTGGGCAGCGCATCGTCTGCCGCGTGTCCTGGGAACCTCGGATGCAACCTGGGCACTTGGCAGCAGGGCGATCAAGTCGTCTGCTGGCTACGCTCGATCAGATCGAGAAAGTGCTGCCCGAGTTCGGCCCCCGGATGGATGGCTGCTGTGTACGGCGTCATCAACAGACTCTTTGGGAAATTGGAAGCGAATCCACGAGCATTTTGTTGGCTTGACTTCTCACGGACGGATTGTTGCGCCCGGTCGAACTTGTTTGCACGTTTGGCTCGCACAAACCGAGTAGGGCGAGCAGGAGGCTGCTCTCCACAGGGGCGAAGTCGGCAACCGAGCGGAGATTTATGACCGCCTTGCCTCTCCCTCCCCACAACTCCACCCTTTTTTCGACTGCCTTAGAGTTTCTCGTTGGCTTATTGCTGCATGCACTTCTGCCGAGTTCCTGTTTGTCTCTGCCAATCTCTGCTCCGCCGCAACAAACTAGTTGCCGTTATCCTTCTTGCCTTCCAGATATTTGTTCTAGATAAGTGTCTTGATACTGAACAATGCTCTTCCCAGCCCGGCCCTCATGGCTTGGCCTCCTGGCCTCCGCCTCTCTCGTAGCCGCACAGACGTACACAAGCTGTAACCCAACAGAAGGTGAGAGCCCCCTTTTCGGTCCGATACGCACACCAGTCAGAAGACAGGATGGAGCGAGCAGAAGACTAACAAACCCAGCCAGGTGCCCCGCCGACACGGGCCTCGAGGCGGAGAGCTACACGGTCGACTTCACCGAAGGCTCCGACTACATGTCGTGGAGCTCCCTCGGGACAGGTCCCATCGCCTTCACGCCCTCGGGCGCCGAGTTCACCATCTCGCGCAGGGGGCAGTCCCCGACCCTCTACACCAACTGGTACTTC